ACATCTGGAAATACTACCCCGTGCATCGCACGGGTGTTATACTAGTATAATATAAAATACATAATAATATTGCTATTGTAAGCAATGTTATTAGAACCAGACCGATCCGGTCGGTCGAACAGGTTCAACCGTGACCAGGCGATAAGGCGATCCGGTTTGACCTCCAAAACCAAAAAATTAAAAATCGGTGTCAAATGACCAAAATTCGATTCGTGACGAATTGGTCAAAGAACCCGGTTTCGGTCAAAATCTCAAACTACCGTTGAGTCGGAATTTTTTTTTGTTAGATTCAACAAACATTCACGGACTTAATTGTGGGTGGTCGGATCTAATCATGGATGGTCGAATGATTGTCGGATATGGTCATGAGAGGTCAAATAAGGGTGATGGATTGTCGGATTTAGAGAATAAGTAATGGAAAAATACGAAGTGCAAGCAAAATAAATATAGTAAAAAATGGGATGATGTAAGATAAAATGAAATAATAAGTCGGAGATTAAAAAATATAAAATAAATAGTATATTTAAAACATTTAAAATTAAAAAAAATATGAACATAAGAAACTATGAAGAATTTTTATTTATCAAAAACCTAATTGAACCGGTTCGACTCTATAAAACCAAACCCCAAATAGCTGAATGCGTCTAAATATGATTATTCATTAAGGGTACTTATCTCTATATATTTTTATTTTTATTTAAAAAAAAAATGTTGTGTTAAATGACCTAGGCTTATATTCATCTTGTAAGTAGATTCCGTCTAAAATTGATTATTTTTTGTGTTGAATTTGGGGATTGTTTTTTGGGGCAATATGCTATAGGTTCTCCTATGAAATATTATATGTGTATAAATCTAATTGAAAAAAATTAAATTGTATGCGGGTTTATTAGTTGTAACGTGTCAGAAATACTCCTAAGAGCAACTCCAATGGAGAGGTATCAAAACAGAACATCAAATATTCAATTGATGCTTGAGATAATACTTTGACACTTTTAAAAAACTCATTTACTCTAACCCATAGGCATTACATAAATTATTATTCATATTCCATTGAAATTTATTGAAATTTTATTTCCTTTCCCGTTGAAATCGCTAGAGCTATTTTCAAGGAATATTTGATTCCTCTTTTTTTTAGGTGCATTTTTTGCACCTCAAGGAGGATGAATATCAAACTATGTTCCACTTTAGTGCTTACGTTGGAGTGAAATATTTGACTTTTGACAATCAAAGTGGTAGTTTTGTAATTTAATACTCGATTTGGTTCCCTCAATGGAATTGCTCTACAGTATATGGAAAAATAAATTCCCAACATAAAATTCCATATTTTTCTCCCCTTTCATTTGAGCTATATGTACTCAATCAATCTGACCACCGTGACTGCAAATGCAAAATAAATTAAAGGTAAAAAATAATCCTATAAAATTCACCTAATGTTAGGTAGCATATATATATATATATATATATATATATATATATATATATATATATATATATATATATATATATATATATATATATGGGTTTATTAGGGATAACCCCCTTGTTCATATTTTCTAATGAGGTAGATCCAATTTTTTTTCCCCTTTTTGAGATAGACCCAATTTTGCCAACTTGGCAAAATATATTATATAATTTGCCTTTAATACCCCTGTTTTATTTTTAAACGGCATTTATTTCCTTTACTACGTGATTTGAGATTTGCTGATAAGTTGCCTAAAATCACGGAATAAAATTACGTGAGATCATTGGCCGTTATATCAAATCGTGTACAATATTTTTCGAAGGTTCTCTTCAGCGTTCCAGCGGTTTTTTATCGTCTTTGAAGATTTCTGCACCGTCGTTGAAATAGGATCGAATTTGAGCGTTCGTTGTTGGACGTTGTTAACCGGGTATGAATGCGTTATTCGTTTTTATTTTTCGCTCAATGTCTAGGATTGTCGATTACGGTGGTTAGAAATCGTTATTTTTTTGCGGATGATGTTTGTTTGGAAGAGGATTGACAGAGTTAGATGAGGATGGTTCACGCATATCGGACCAGAGTTGTTTTATATGAACATCGTAGTTGGTTTACGCATTCATTGAAATAACTGTCTGTTGTCGTGGAGTTCATGAGTCTGATCCCGGTCGATAGTTGGTTTATTTGTTTATAACAGCCGATTTAAGTGTGCTAGGTAGTACATTAAAATATAGTTCGTAGTTTTTTTTAAATTAGCATATGGATTTTGCATTTTAAGTTTATTTTTGATGATATTAATGTATTGTCATTCAAATGTATTTGCAGTCTATTTAATCATTTTTTAGTATTCTGCATTTTTTGTTTTGTTTCATGATTTTAGGTTTTTTCGATGGCGAACTTCGTACGGATTTTGTTGAGGTTTGGTGGGTTGGTTGCTATAAAGAGGTGTTTACGATGTAATGGCTCGGTAACTTCGGTTAAGTTTTAAATCGTTGTAATACAGTAGTATACTATTATGAATACCGTATGATACTACCATTATCATTTTATTATACTATTATGAGATTATTAATGTACTAGAGTTTTTTAACTCGACATATTGGTTTGATTGTGTTATGATGTGTTTTATGTATTTTATCAAAACCCTAGATTGAAATTATGAGATTATTAATGTACTATTTTATTGGTTTTTAAATCGTTGTAATACAGTAGTATACTATTATGAATACCGTATGATACTACCATTATCATTTTATTATACTATTATGAGATTATTAATGTACTAGAGTTTTTTAACTCGACATATTGGTTTGATTGTGTTATGATGTGTTTTATGTATTTTATCAAAACCCTAGATTGAAATTATGAGATTATTAATGTACTATTTTATTGGTTATGTTGGAATACTTTACGTTGGTGTTGTTCTCAATGTTCTTGTCATTTCAGTGGTATATTGTTTGTAACACAATTCATATCACTACTATAACCGTAATATACTATCATAGCAGATTAATGTACTATATTGAAATTATTAATATACTATGTGGTTGAATAATACGGGATCCATAGTAAATAAACGAGATCCATAGTCGAATTAGATCAATAAGATAGTCTATTACATGATATAAGGAAAATTACCCTAATTGATTAGTATTTCAAGCAAACATATTATTCAGTTTCCATATATATTATTATTTTTTCATATATATTATTATTTACCTTAATCGTTTTCATATAATAAGGAAAATTACCCTAATTGATTAGTATTTCAAACAAACATATTATTCAGTTTCCATATATATTATTATTTTTCCAATAGTCAATTAACTAAATCCATAGTCGAATTAGATACATGGGATAGTCTATTAAAAGATATGAGATAGTCTATTAATTTTAAAACACAAATCCGCCGCCGTCACTTCTCAAATCTAGGGTTTTGATGATTCTTCGGCCCATAGTCGATTAACGAGATCCATAGTAAAATTATACCAGTGGGATAGTCTATTAAATGATATGGGATAATATATTAATACAGATGTAATTCGACTATGCATCTCATTAATCAACTATGGGCCGAAGAATTATCAAAACCCTAGATTTGAGTAATCCTAGATTTGAGTAACCCTAGATTGGAGCAGTGACGGCGACGGCGACGGCGGCGGCCAACGACGATAACACTTCTGGTGGATGTCTTGCCCATCAATTGTTGCAATATCACTGATTTAGTGCTCGAATTCGGTATGCGATTATAACAGATCTGCAATTACACAAACGTAATAGTCGATTTAGCCAAAACATATCAACAAATCGATGGATGATAGCGATTCAGCGAGTGGCGACGACGTACCTACGACAGCTTGCTCGGAGTGCACGAAAATCGTCGTTTCACGGCAGTGCAGACGTCTTCCCCTTTCAATCGGCCGTACCGGGAAGTTGTTCTGGGAGGTTTTGCAGTTTATTCGATAGTGGGTTTGGGATGATAGTGATTTAACGGGAAAATAAGAAGGGATTTGATTTTATTTCAAAAGGTAAAATAACGGGTTTTGTGGGATTTGATTGAGGGTAATTATGTAATTAGGAAAAGTTTGGGCTGTTATCAAAATGGCAAATATAAATTTGGGTCTACCCCTATTATTTGAATGTTTAAGGGGGTTATATCTAATAGACCCTATATATATATATATATATATATATATATATATATATATATATATATATATATATTCAATAAAATTTATATACGGGTGACGACGGGAGGAACCAAATCATGATAATGATTTCGAAAAAACAAAATCTCAATACCAATCCATTCACTAAAATTAGAATTTCAGAACTTCTCTCAAGAAAACCACGAATGATAAACCTTTTCCAAAATTGGAAATGTTTCTATCTAAACTCGCGGAGTTCAAAAGTTCTATTTCTTAGGTGCCTATAATATAAAATACATAATAACATTGCTATTTGTAAGTGTAGTTTTGAAAACAAAAATATCGAAATCGAAATTAAACCCATATCGAAAATAGAATATAAATGTACTCCAACTTTATTCCAAAGAATCAAAAAGATCAGAAACCGAAACTTTCAAAATTTAGTGTACAAAATATTATTCTAAAATCAAAAATTTTGAATCGAAATCGACATAATTCGGAAATTTATTCCAATTTCCACCCTAAAATTCACGAGTGCAACATGTTGAAATATTATAAGTATATATCACCAAAAAGGGCAAAAACAATGATGTGGCCATTATATCTACTTATTGTGGATCTAATATTTGATTAAACACACTTGCAAGAAATTTCCCAACAGAAAAATACAGATTCATAATAAAAATAATAAAGTAGATGTCATTTTCCATATGAAAAATGGTTAAATTTTTCAATCTGCAATTTGCTAATCATCATCTCCATTTTTACCAATCAGTCAGCAATTCACAAATGACCCCAGAAATTTAAGGCTCAAATCTGGGTGGGCTCTCTCTCTCTCTCTCTCTCTCTCTCTCTCTCTCTCTCTCTCTCTCTCTCTCTCTCTCACACACACACACACACAGTTGCGCGTGAAAGTGTGTGTGTTGTTTTTTTTGGATATGAGCTTCTTAGGAAGATGCTGCGGAAGAAGCTCCCCACAAGTTAACGTATTTGCAAAGAGGTCCTTCAAATCTCTCAAATTTCCCGGGGAGTCCCTCGATGACATCACCTCTCCTGCTCTCGTTCATGGCATTCATGTCTTCCACTGCCCAGTAAGCCCATCAACCCCCTTTTTCTGATTTTTTTTTTTTTTTTTTTAATTTTCTTATTCTCAAATTTATACATTTGTATATTGAAATTGAAATCTGAAGTAGGTGAAGTAGTAAAATAGCGATTTTTTCGATGTGGGAATTGTCATTTTCGATTTGAATGGTGGAGATGTGGAATTTGGTTCTTGATTCTTGATTATAACCAGATGAAGTGGGAATTATGATTCTTAATTTTTTTGAATATAATTTTGAATGGATTTAGTTATCCAACATCGATGCGGAGGCGAGAATTACGATTATCGATTTTTTCCTATAACCGGGGGGAATTTCGAAGAAATTGTCACCCCATTATGCATATATGTGTACATACATTGATTCTTTGTAACCATATGTCACGTGTATATATATAAAGTTACGCAATGCTTGATATAGAAATTTGAATTTGAGTTGTTGCAAACAATCAGGATGAAGTCGGAATCGTTGCCAAATTATCGGAATGCATAGCTTCAAAGGGCGGCAACATTCTTAATGCCGATATTTTTGTGCCCGAAAAGGAGAATGTTTTCTACTCCAGAAGGTTCTTTTACTGCTATCCGTTTTGTTTTCGTGTTCTAGTGTTTCCAACTGTGTACTTGAATTCGCAGGTGTTGATCGAATGCGAGTAAATAGTTTAGAGATGTATGTTATTCACACGTGTTTCACATGTCAAAAAGTATCTTTACAGTGAGTTCGTCTTCGACCCCGCTAAATGGCCGAGGGTGCAAATGGACGAGGATTTCTCAAAGCTTTCAAAAACATTCAACGCAATGAAATCTGTCGTTCGAGTCCCCAGTCGAGATCCAAAATATAAAATCGCTGTCTTTGCTTCAAAGCAGGTACTTTTATTTTCAACAAATATGTAATCTCAATCGAAAAAAAAAAAAAAAAAAAGAACATTCTTGTTATTTTTATTACATGATGAAGATTCCCTTTTTAAATACCAGGATCATTGTCTTGCCGATTTGCTGCACGGGTGGCAGGACAAAAGGCTACCGGTAGACATTACAGCTGTCATAAGGTAATAAAATCGAAGGTTATCTATGTTTTTTTTTTCTATTTAGTTTTGATGTAGCTATTATTTTATTTAGAGTGGTTAAAAGAAGTTGCATGTTTTTTTTTACGTACGTACAGCAATCACGATAGAGGTCCAAATACGCATGTGATGCGATTTCTTGAAAGGCATGGAATTCCTTACCATTTTTTGGACTCGAATAAAGAAGACAAAAACGAAGGAGATATTTTGAATTTGGTTGAGGGTACCGACTTTCTAGTACTTGCTAGATACATGCAGGTAAATATTCTCGAATTATTTGTTTTTTTTTTTTTTATTTATTTATTTCTGTAAATTGGTACTGATAATGTTATACGATGTTTGAAAAATTGGTATTCATCTGTAATGTAAATATGTTCAGACATATTTTTTGTTTGCTGACTGTACTAAAATATATCGTTTAATCGGTGCAGATACTCTCGAGAAATTTCTTACAAAGTTATGGAAAGGATATAATTAATATTCATCATGGCCTGTTGCCATCTTTCAAGGGAGGGAATCCATCGAAACAGGTCTTATTTTATCTTCGTTTTTTATTTTGTTTCCGATGTTTTATTTTGAGTATACATAATTTTTTTTTATGTTGAAATAAAATTTCACAGGCGTTCGATGCTGGTGTGAAATTAATCGGTGCAACAACTCATTTTGTGACCGAAGAACTTGATGAAGGCCCCATTATCGAGCAAATGGTAATCATGATTTTCCTTCAGTTGTAGCTTTCATTATTAATTAGATAAATATGCAAAAAAAAAAAAAAAAAAACTCGTATTTATAATATTTGAAGATGCTTATATGTTTGTATGTAATAATTGTGTCAGGTGGAGAGAGTTTCACACAGGGATAATCTACGAAGTTTCGTGCAGAAATCGGAGAATTTGGAGAAGCAATGCCTTGCAAAAGCAATTAAGTCATACTGCGAACTGCGTGTATTGCCTTACGAGAAAAACAAGACCGTTGTTTTTTGAGAAACCTGTATGTATTCCCCATTTATCTCATTCTTGATACAACTTCAATACTTTTTAATCAGAACCCATTTTTTTTTTCTGCATATTGAGTTCAAATTTAATTTTCTTATTCAAATCCATCTCTCGTTCTTGTTACGAGTTCTTCCGTAAAAACATGAAGAGAAAAGGGAAAGTTAGTTACACTAGTAGTTTGCTTCGATATCATTTCTGATATGCCATTGACTGCTCGAGTTTTGGCGACGCTGAGTTAAGGTCAAATTACGAAAAACCCCCTCTTGTTTGTGTAATTACAACCACCCCTCAACTATGAGTCTTCTCACACGTTCACTCTTATGGTATTAAATTCGACATAATCTTCTAGATTCCATAGAATGTTCTCTAGTTTCTACTCGTTTTGTGCAATAACCGATGCACCACAATCTGATATTTACAAGCCAAAAGACACGTCTTATGATTATCTTGTTTCAAAATGTGGAGCTCGAATGGGGTAAAACGGGTACAAACTGAAGTATATTCCACATAATCTAAAAGATTCTATTAAATTTGACACTGCAAGGGTGGACGTGTAAGTAGATTCATAGTTGAGGGGGTGATTGTAATTACCGAAATAGGTGGCCGTAATTTAACCTTTTTTTTGTTATAAAAAGAAAATTTACATTAACCAGGCACTGTTACAAACAAGTGTTCAATTTATATTATAAAAAAAGAAACTCGAACAAAATTTGTCTGCCTAAAAGTATGATTTAAATGGTGTTGTTGATATTCAAATTTCTTAGGGAATTCTGAGCCTCTTCGAATCGTCTTCTTCGTTGAAGAAGCTGTTGAATTCCGATGCACCATTTCTGTTTATGAACTCTGTTCTTACACTTGAACTCAAACATACCCTTTGCAGTTTTCACCCCAAAATAAACTTCCATATTTTCTCTTTCTTTTCTGAACGGCCATCTGTCGCTCTCGTCAATCACTTCGTACACAATACCTGCAAAATTTTGGCGAAACATCGATTCTTGATTATTATTTCTTCTTCATATGCATCTAGTTGTAAACTTCTTAGTCAAATAATCGGAAAAAATAAAATAAAATTATTTACATTTATTATTCTTGGAAAATGCTCCACCGACGTGTTTGCTCTTCAACTTCATTGTAACCTGGAAATCACTCGTTTTAGTAATCGATAAATATATGAATTTTGTAGGTGCAGATAAATCAATATACAGTAGAACCTCGATAAATTAATAACCTCGCTTAAATAATAGTTTTTTTTTTATCCCGACTTGGTAAAAACCTACTAAATTATTAATTCGATAATTTAATATTTCACTAAATTAATAGAATTTTGCTAATCCCGACTGTATTAATTTATAGAGATTTAATTGTAATATAATATTTTGTTGTATATATCACCTGGAATGCCTTGTTGATGTATACGGATACCTTTTTCCATCTTAGGACACCTAAGAAATTCGAAAAATCAATAACTCGATTTACCGGCTTTAAAAAAAAAAAAAAAAATTATTCGATAACTTGAATTTAGAAGTATTACCTTTTGAAGTGAGTTGCAGTAAATCACCTACACACGGAAGATCATCTTCTTCGATATCACTCCGAAAAGTCGATGGAGATTGAGATTGAAAATCTGCTAAATTCCTTTCGTATGGACTTATAGTCGCACTCCGTTTTCCTTCCTTAGGTAATCTTTCTCTCAGAGCCGCTTCTCCTCTCAAAGCTATTCAAGAAAGTCGAATTATTCTCCATATGTATGTATGTATGTATGTATGTATGTATGTATGTATGTATGTATGCATGTATGTATGTATGTATGTACCGGTGGCTGCGGCTGCTGTTAGAGTTGAAAGATGACTGGCGGTTTGAATGGCGAGCGCCGATCGGACAACTGAGTCGACAGAATCTTGATCGGCACCGGATGACTCGGCCAACTCAATGCAGTACGAGGCTAAGAGCTCGGTTGCTGATGTCAGCGCCGAGCTCATCTTCGAGGTCGGGCCTGCTTTTGATCTCTCGGCTGAAGCAGCGGAGGCTAAGGCTGCTGCTAGTCCTGCAACCGAGAGAACTGCGTGCGTGTGCGCGTTTTCCATGCGCGCCTTATCCTTCTTCCTTTTCACATCATTGTTGTTGCCTTCTTTGTGATGGAACAATAGTCTTCCGATTGGTCCGCCTCTTATTCTTTCGGTTATTCGGTTGCCCGACTGTGTGAAGATGTATTTGCTCAATTGTTAGTGTGTTGGAATAGGAAAAATCGGGATAAAAGTGGTATTTTCGATTCGTTCGTAGATTCTTAATATTGGTGAACTACTATCTATGCGTTTGTGTTTGTGTTTGTGTTTGAGAGAGAGAGAGAGAGAGAGAGAATTGGTGAAGTATACTATCTATGGCTATGTTTTTGGTAAGCTTTTCGAATTATTTTCACACTTTTCCCAAAATGAAAATTATCTTTCTACAATATTTTCAAAAACTTTTCCCAAAAACAATTCAAATATTTCTCTCTCTAACAAACATGATTTGACCGCTACAGTATAAATTGTCTTCACTAAAATCACTTTATTTTTCAAATTCTTCTTCCAAAATACCTTTTTTCCAACACCTTTCAGACATGATTTGACTTGCTACAGTACAAATTGTCTCCTCTCAAAACACAAACAAACTTTATTTTATTTCGAAATTCTTCTCCCAAAACATCTTTCTCCAGAATAAAATGGAAATGTAAGCCCAAAAGCTTACCAAACTATGTTTTTGTGTGTGTGTGTGTGTGTGTGTGTGTGTGTGTGTGTGTGTGTGAGAGAGAGAGAGAGAGAGAGAGAGAGAGACTTACATGTAGATGATGTGATACAAGTGGTGTTTGAGGATGGAGGGAGAGATTATTAATGTTTTCAAATAAAGGAGGTTGAGTATTAACAATGTGCTTTTTCTTCGCGAGAGCTTTCGTGATTTCGTTAGCAGAGAGGCTCCAAGATCTCGACAAAAACTCCATCGGCTCGTTCGGCGTCTCCGGCTGAGCTATCGCAGCTAACTCCATCTCAATTGCTTCGTCTTCGTCTACATTTTTAAGCCAGTACGGGATACTACTACTCTCCTTTTCCATTTCATACATCATCACTCTTATAATATCTATATATATATATATATATATATATATATATATATATATATATATATATATATATATATATATATATATATATATGCTAGAAAAATTAACGATTTCGAATGCTGCTTTCTTGTGTGTGATCTGTGTATCGTGTTAGCATTCTTGAGACAGATATCTGAAGTTCGATACGTATTTATAGGTTTACGCAGGAGAGACGACACAATGCTTGGAACCCGTACGATGAATAGTTGAATATTGTCGATTCGTGTATGCTTTTTAGCAGACACCTATGTTTTATTTGGGACAGAGTAATTAAAACTAAACATAGGATAATACATATATTTCAAATGCATTTTTAATTTTTTTTTTAAATAATTAAAAAAACATCAAAAAGTTTAATGTGCATGTTCTCAGGATGAGGTTTCAAGGTTCAGACATAAGATATTATGTTTGTTTTGGTTTTGGACCAAACATACATTTGTCCTTATTTCAAGGGGGAATGGTTTCTTCATGTTCATGCAACTTTCTTTTTGGTCAAAGTATTATCAAAATTTGGTCTTTTTTTAATTAAATGTTGCTGGATTCAAGGTCACCTATTCGGGTCGGGTCAAACTCACCCATCATTTAATTAACATATTCTTTAGTTGAGAATTGAGATGGTGATTAGTTAATTTAAGATCGATCCACCAAAATTATGGATTGATTTTTTTTTTTTTTTTTTTAATGATTAAATCCAGACAAGCTTAATGACTTGGTTATTTGGAATTTGAAATATCTCCTTTTACTAGACGTGTAAATTGGACGGATTGCCTCATAATTAATCCTTTTGGAAAAATACTTTTTTTTTTTCCGGAATTGAAAATTAGCTCCAATTCCGTCCCAATAAAAAAAGGGAAAAGAATTAGTACCGGAGTTTCGGAAATTGGAATGAAAAAACTTGTTCCAAAATCAGAAAATTTTGGATTTGAATCGGCGGATTTTAAAATTTTCTAATTTTTGGTCACCAAAATATAAAATACATAATAATATTTGTATTTTAAGTGTAGCATTCGGAAGGAAAAAAATAAATCAGAATCTCCAGAACTTATATCATAATCTCGTATTCTTCCAATTCCGATCCAAATAATTTCGAAAGAATTGGAACACGGATTTCGGATTGAAAATATTGTTCCAAAATCGAAAAATTTCAGATAGAAATCGGGAATCTTGTTCCATTTTCCACCCCTGCCCCCTACCATCTAAATGCACCTTAATATCAAATTGGATAAGAGTTTGAAAATAAATAATACCCCAATACTAATATATTAAGTCGAAAACGCGACTATGAAAATGCCAATTGAACGAATACGGAGTGGGTATCGCAAAATATTTACTTGCCCTTGCTAAAGGGTAGATTTGTTCGACCCTACACCAGGTGAAAAACACCGTGTGGGTCTTCTGCTACCACGTGTCTTTTTTTTGTATTTTATAATAGATTCTCCGCTAGGGTTTACCTGTAGGGGTTTTAGAAAAATAAAAAAAAGAACACGTGGCAGCAGAAGACCCACCCGGTGTAGGGTCGAAGGAACCCTAAAGGGTACCGCATCTAACCAAGTACCCGCAAAAGTATTTGTTTTCTCTCAAATTATCATTTGAATATTCTTTCAAATTCATTTTTATTTATAATATAATTGATTTATAAAACTAAGAAACAATGTACAGTTAAACCTCTATAAATTAATATAGTCTGGACCAGTAAAATTTTATTAATTTAGCAAAATATTCAATTATCGAACTAATAATTTAATATGTGTTTATTGAGTGGGATCAAGAGAAATTATTACTTAAACGATATTATTAATTTATCAAATATTAATTTATTGAAGTTCTATTGTATACATATATTGAAGGAGTTAAACTTGTGATCCATGTTCCGAATTCCAAAACATATGGTACATTTTACAATGTAGCATTTAGGCTATATATTATTTGTGTTAGAGATTTTACATTTTTTTTTAATTTGTAATAGAGTAGATTAATGAAAGTGGTGGTTGTAAAAAGTTTGGTTGGTCGGCAAAATGATGTTTATTTATGATTAAATGTGCTTAGAAGATATCCATGCGCAGTGCACGAGGTGACAAGCACGTGCCATTTTTTGGGAGGCTCCAAAACCCTACGACATCTTTTAAGTTGGACTCAAAAGTTGGGGTATTGGTTTTCGTTATATGCTCATCCTTGATCCTTATACTACCTTTCTGTTTGTAAATGATCCTTTTTAAAAGGCAAAAAGGTGGAGAAATTAAAGTCTTTATCGCACAACGGCTCTCTCCGAGCTCGGCACCTACTCCTCTTCCTTTCTTTCGAACTGATATGTACTAATGGGCTTTTACCAACACATGCGATCTGACATTTTTGCCACTATGTTCTCTTTTTTGGCGAACACTTCAGTCCACATCGATTCTCACCATTCACTGAGACTTGGCCCAACATGTTGTCGCTCATTTTGATTTTGGGCTTAGCTCTTATCATTCATTGGGTCTTGGCCCACAAGTCTTGAATACGGGGAGTTCGGTCCAATGGTGTCCAACTGAACCCCATCATCTACTCCCTCTTATTGTCTAGTGAACATAGCAAAGTGGTTCGCTGGAGAATAACGAATGAAGTGTAGTAATCCATCTGGCCTTCTATCAATGCATCTAATGTTTTTTTTTTTATCTTAAGTAATTTGTTTTGGCTCGCTTTTCTACAAAATCTCTCCAAACACAAACATAGTAGTGGCATTTCAAGGTACTTCAACCATTGTGAGCAAATAAGTTCATTTTAGGATTAAGGCTTCAAGGTGTTTCAACCTTTGCATTTAAGCTATAAACCGTGTGTATTTGTTTATGGGCTAGGGTCTCAAGGTTTTCTCAATCCTCGCATTTAGGTCGCAAACCATGTGCATTTGTTTCAGGGCTAGGGCCTCAAGGTGTTTCAACCTAGGCGAGCATGTATATTTGTTTTAGGGTTGAAACCACAAGGCGTCTTAATCTAGACGAGCAACTTCATTTAATTTGTTTTAGAATCGATTCACGCTTTATATAGACTCTGAGGTATACCCTGAGTATTCGTTTACATCTTTTGATCTTGATAGATTTTTTTTATATTTGGATCGAAAAGAGAAAAAATAAAATAAATAAGAAGAGTAAGGATGCACAAAAATCATTAAATAAAAAGAAAATAGACACAATAAACTATGACTTATTCACATTTTTAATTTATTTGAAGTTCGCGAAACACACAGCTCTTTTGTTGAGCACAAAATAGAACTTACACAACTTTTATAATATTTAACAAAACACCATATAAAAAAAAAAAAAAAAAAAAAAAAAAAAAAGAACCACAATTATTTAAAAAAAGAAAAATACATTAAACAAATAGAAATATTTCAGATTTATGCATAATCCTCGGAATTTGGGATTGGAGAATGAGTTCCAATAAAAATATCACCATATACTAGACCCGCTAGCCCGCCACCGATAAGTGGGCCCACCCAATAGATCCAGTTTTGTGAAAAGTCAGCGCTTGCAACAGCGGGTCCAAATGATCGGGCCGGGTTCATCGATCCACCGCTAAATGGGCCGGCTGCTAAAATGTTGGCCCCCACAATGAACCCAATTGCAATGGGGGCGATTACCCCCAATGAGCCCTTTTTGGGATCTGCAGCTGTGGCATACACAGTGTACACCAGTCCAAAGGTTATGATAATTTCCATTACTACCCCTTGAATTGCACCCATTCCAGATGCAACCCCATGAGTGGGGATAGACTGTGCCACAAAAATATTATATATTAGAGAAAAAGGGCTAAATATATTTATTTAAAAATATAAAATAAATATTCTTTTAACTTTTTAATATAAATACGTTTGGTGAAAATCGCGCATATCATATTGGAGTTAGAAGTTAGAACATTCGAAAAAAATTGAAATTCTACTTCGGAAGCGAAAATACTTATTTCAAATTCGTTTCAGAAATTTTTGAAAAACAATCAGAATTAAAGTGAAGAAATTTGTCCAAAATCATTTTCTATGTATTAAAACAGGTGAAAATTGGAAACCCGTAATGTAAATACATAATAAAATGTAAGTGTAAGTTCGAAAAGTTCAAAGCAGGACCTAAAATTGGGAACTCATATATATTCCAAATTCAACATAGAAGAATTAGAGATTTTTTTTGAAAAAAATATTATTCCAAAATCGAAACAATATTGATCAGAAAATGAACACTATTAAAAAAAAAATCAAATTATGCCAATTTTGACCTCTACTAAATGCATGTAACAAATTAGTTTAGAATTATCTTCTTAGTCCGAATGATATTTAGCTAAATGTAGAATATTGAAATTTTGCCTAAACATTTGAATTTGAGGGAACGATACACATACCAAGCCACCGGTAACGAATTTAAGGAGGAGACAAGCGACGATGGAGCCAAGACATTGTGCAATCCAATAGAAGAGGCCGGTTATGATGGTGATGTTGCCTCCAATGGCCAATCCGAATGTGACAGCCGGATTTAGATGGCCACCGGAGACATTAGCTGCCATGGACACTCCCACGAACAGTGCGAATGCATGAGCTACTGCCACTGCCACCAGGCCCGCTGGGTCCAGATCCGCGTCGGACGTAAGCTTGTCTACATGAAACACGACATTGAAAAATTATATTGAAGAATATTGAAAAACAATGCTTTACTATCGAACGTGAAAAGAGTAAATTTATGTTATCCAATGAACGTTCAGATGCAACCTTCTTAGTGAAAATTATTTAGGAGTTGAACATGATATTTTCTCATTTTCACAAATGAAATGTGAACAACAATCGGAAAATAATGAACAGACGACTTACTATAAGCAATGGCAGAGCCAACACCGGCAAAAACAAAAAGAAGTGTAGCGATAAATTCAGCCACGTAACTCTTAATCGATGCAACACTCAAAGAGTCACCAAAGCTACCAAAACCTATTTTCACCATTGTGATTTCTTTGAAATTTTGAAAGCCAAAGGTTGAATTGAATTCACAAAGAAGAAAAGGAGAGAGAATTATAAGTTTGAGTTACTAAAAGAGTTGGTTGAGTATTAGGATTGGATAGGGCAATGGCATTATATAGTGCAATTAGTATTTTGATATTACCGACTTTGGCCCTACTTAGGCTGGATTGAAGCCACTCATTGGCGCCGCCCAACCGCCCCTAATATAATTTATGAACCAAAATATATTAAGGTTGGTTGACATGCAATATCCAAAAAAGAAAAAAAAAAAACAATTAAAGGATAAAACTATGAAAAAATTACTATTGTGGCTGATAGAGGTACCGCTCTCGTTAGTTATTCCGTCAAACTTAATGTGTATGTAAAACTTTAAGGAGGTATCTGCAAAAAATAAAGAAAACATGTTAGCACAAGGGGGATCATGTGCAAAATATAGTATTTTGATGTTTGACATGCACGGTTAATTTTAACGAAAAAAAACTAACAAAAATCACATCCATTAACGACAAGAAAGTTATATGCTTACGAGTACAAGGGTTCAAAATGTTTGTAAATCAGAGTGGTCAAATGTTATTTACTCAAATAATAATGTCACTTCAACACCTTTTCTTAGGGCTGGGCATTTGGGATCGGGATTCGGGATCCCGTCCCGTCCCGATCGGAATTTTACTATTTGGGACTAAAACTTCGGGAATTCGGGATTACGGGATTCGGGATTGGGATTATGAACAAATACGGAATCGGTATTAGGGAATTGGTTCAATCCCGATCGGGATATTTTAATCCCGAATTAGGAAAAAAAAGAAAAAAAAACTAATAAAAAAATACACACACACACATATATATATATATATATATATATATATATATATATATAATCAAGGAGATGAGAAATACAATATATAAAATATATTGTTTCAACTTATTTTTAAATTTTTTAAATTTTATTTGTTCCAAGTTTTGTTGTAAAAATAAATAAGGCAAGAAGAATAGTATGTATATAATATATTCAAGTTGGTTTAGTGTATAAAATAATACTAATGAAAAAAAGATGCAATACTTCTTAGTTTTTAGGCGAAATATGGGATTTCCCGATCCCAATCCCGATTCCCGAAATATTTAGGGATACCGATATAACCGGGATTTAATAGTTTGGGACGGGATTGGGATTTAAAATTTCTATCCCGAATCCCGAAATCCCGATCCCGAAAATCCCGAATTCCCGAAATCCCGTCCCGAACTCATTCTTAACTGCTCACTAAGAAATAGTGATTTGATAAACGTTGTCACTTTCAACCCAAGTCCCAATCTGATGGGCATATGTATGGATTTTCATTTACCATTTACCAAATAGAAAAAAGTGGTCGGCTCCTAATAATTGTTTTAAGACAAGTCTATCATATATGATATAAAATATTAAACATTTAGTATTCTAATAGACCAAGGGCTCGTTCGTTTATCGCTATAAGGTGCTACTAACTAAATAGTAGGGGCTAATAACATGTTTGGTTAGTAAGATTCACACTTTCTCAAACTCGCAACTAAAATCAAAGTCTGTTAGTAAATGCTACTAGTTTATTAAATTACTAGCACCCCTACCCCTGAGATTAAGGACTCGTTCGGTTATCGCTATAAGGTACTACTGACTAAATAGTAGGGGCTAATAACATGTTCGGTTGGCAAGATTCACACTTTCTCAAACCCGCAACTAAAATCAAAGCCCGCTAGTAAATGCTACTAGTTCATTAAATTAGTAGCACCCCTACCCATGAGATTAATTTTATAGGGGGTGACTAAAAAGGAAAAATACAATTTTATCCTTAAAATCATATTTTATTATTATAAACTAAGTGGTTTTATAGAGAATTCATATATAATAAATTATTTTAACAAATTTAATAGAAAATCTAATTTTAGAAACCGAACATGCTATTAACTAAATAATTAATTAGTCAATATGGAGTTAATCCAATCTCATGTAATCCAATATAATCCAATATAGGTAACCGAACGAGCCCTAATTTTATAGGGGGTGACTAAAAAGGAAAAATACAATTATATCCTTAAAATCATATTTTATTATTGTAAACTAAGTGGTTTTATAGAGAATTCATATATAATAACTTATTTTAACAAATATTTAATAGAAAATCTAATCTAAGAAACCGAACATGCTATTAACTAAATAATTAATTAGTCAGTAGGGAGTTAATGTCGTCGCCGCTCCGGGATTGCACGGGTTGGTTTCCGTGGCAATCTTGCTTCGTTTCGTGCGCCTACCTCACGCTTCAAGAGGTAAAGTTTCGAATCCGTAGTTATTCGATATTGATTTAATTTAGATTAAATATGTATGTTCGTATCATAGTATATTGTATGAATTTATATGTATTATGTGATTACATGAAATTCGTAATTTATTGCGAGCATGATTAATTGATTTAATGCGAGCATGTTAGTTGATTTAATGTCGATTAAATAATTTGCATGTATGTTGTTTTTAATTTTGCTGGAAGCGCAAAGGTACGCAATTAATTGTTTACAATTATCGGGCATGTGATTATGTGATTTAAATTCGCATAAATTTTTGTTTTCCGCTGCGTACACGTGTCCGATTCCCAACAGTTGGGGGACGTCTCAACACCAATATCCATTACTATGATATGAGAATACTTGTCAGTTATAGTGGCATTAATGAAATACATATTTGGATGAGAAAATCATTGATGATTATATGGTAGCTACCGAGACCATTGAAAATCGAACCATTATGTGCCAATAAAGAGTTGATTGACAAATAAATCATGGTTAGCTTGGTCTCTAAGTGAATAGAGAGGCATTTGAGATTATTAGTACTCAATTTTGTTGTTGTACCGATATAATATCTTAAAAATTTGAAAATTATTTTTGAATGAATATTCTTGTACCAAATTGAATTTGATAATATTGAGTTTGAAAATAAAGTGGACATGTAGTCTTAAATACTCCCTCCACATTGTGAAACTCAAAAGCGCGCATTTTGTCCATGTAGACATTTTTTTAAAATAAATAATGAGCTCAAGCACATAAAGTATTATGAAAACTTTATTGATGCAATATAGAAAATTCTCTATAAGAGAAAAATACATGGTATATGAAAAGATATGGATCTCTAACAAGAGATCGTACCCACAAATGCTACAATCCCATTTATATGAATATAATTCTCTAAGGAGAATCCGGTACCGGAAAGTAAAATAGTGAGCTCTTGATTGATTATAAAGAAATATGGGGAGTACGAAAGATGTTATCGAATAACTATATGTACAATTATTTTTATAATGTAAAGAGCTTGAAGCTCGTACATTTTAATTGATGGCGACATCTTATTGGTTATTAGTATATGCATTCACAAATGCAATTGTCCATCATTATTTGAAATTGTTGATGAAATGAATTGTACATTGACTTGCGGTCATCACACATAAAGTTGTGAAAGGCTTTAGTAAAAAAGTGGGGAAAATCATTGCGGTAAATTTGAATGCCTTTGAAAATATATTTTTATGATGCAATCACTTTATGATGGTATTCAAATTAAATACTTTACATGCAGCATATGGATGCAATTACTGCATATCTACATGGATCATAAAATTAATGAAGAATTGATGATGCGTTGTGCATATAATAAGAGGTTTCGAGAGTCAACTCTAGAAATGATCAATTTACACGTTATCTTCAAAATATGGTACATTCACGTCAGTGAATACCTAGTCAAATATCAAATAATATGACTTACCATTATCATGGTATAGATGTGAATGACCTAAATCTAGTGGAGACTCAAGAAGAGCTCACAAAGATGGTCAATTATTTGGTGACATAATTTGAGATGAAAAAATATTGGAAGGGCAAAATGCATCTCGAAAAGAATACCTATGAAATGAAATTTATCCATTAATACAAATGAGAAATGGATACGACTCATCTATTGAGTGATATTATGTTTGTCCAATCATTGAATATAATTGAAGATCTTTTAAGCCCTCGAGAAGATAATGAAAGAATTACAATTTGAAAAAGTGTAAAATGTATATTACATTATCTTTATGGAAAATTTCGTGAATCTTAAAGCGGATATAGTTGGCTAAATTAAAGTCAAACAATAAATTATCATATTCATATATCGGAGTATTGCTAACTACTTCATTGAGAAGATGATTAAAAGTCATATATTGAAATCAGGGGGAGCATGAGCACTACTTATAAAAACATTGTACTCTTTTTTCTTCGACAAAGTTTTTGTCCCAATGGGTTTTTCTTGGCAAGGTTTTAACGAGGCAGTGTTACGCTCTCAAAATTTAAATGGATATGTATTCTTTTCTCATTCATTTAGATTTTGTCCCTTGGATTTTCCTAAAAAGATTTGTAACGAGGCATACTCTATATATGGTGGACATTTAAGGGGGAGTGTTATGAATTCTAGAAGGTGTGGATGACCACCATTACTCACCATGATCAAGCACCATCACTCCCACCATTATCACACCATAATACCTATTGATGATACCATTATGGCCTTGTAGATGTCTTCTAGTGCTATATATATATAGAACATTATGTAATATATTTTACACACTTGAAGCTATGGAATAATATATCATATATTCTCTCAACTTTGTTCTCATTTTCTTGTATATCCTTTGTTAGTTTCTCAACAGTACACAATTTACCAATTTATTTAAATACAAAATAAATTTCAAGTCCCCTATTTCCCCAATTTGTAAAGAGACTTGAATAAAATTATGTTTTGTTTTTAATTTATTTTACAATAAAGTAGAAATTATATTAAGAAATCTATATAATATATAAAAGTTGAATTCCACCCTTAATTTCTTGACATTTGGCAATTTCAATTGATGACATGTATTCAATTTTATCTTATGTGGCAAATTGATTGGTGAAAATAAATCATCAAAAAACATGTCATCATTTCCAAAATTAAAGGTAATTAGATATATTTTATTATTTTATTAATATATTTATATCCTACCATTTATAAAACCTCTAAATATATCAACTTTCTTGGAAACTATAAATGGATTTATTTTTTAATATAATTTTA